GCCTACCAACCGACGATATTTTTCGGATCATGAAGAAGCTCCCGTGTTCGTTATCAAGCTTCACCCCGGGGTCCATAGGTGTATCACCAGGCTTAGCATCGTGCAAGCCCACCTCCTTAAGAATATCAATGGCGTACTTTCTCGAGAAAGAGCAATACTATCACCGATATGCAACTTCGATACCGAGAAAATATCGAAGTAGACCTAAGTCTTTAGTATTAAACTCCTTCGTAGAAACCGCTTGAGTCGTTTTATGCCTTCAACATCACTCCCGAACAATGATATCATCAACATAAACAACCGAATAACATACCCCTTCAAAGATGACATACTAAATACGGAATGATCCACATTGCATCGATGCATACCAAAGCGTAAAAAGACATCACTAAAACGACCGAACCAAGCACGAGGAGACGCTTTAGTCCATATAGAGCTTTAAGCAATCGGCATACCTTCTCCCCCTGAGCAACAAACCCGGGTGGTTGCTCCATATAGACCTCTTCTTGAAGATCCCCATGAAGGAACGCATTTTTAACATCAAGCTGATGAAGAGTCCACTTAAAACGAGCAGCCAAAGAAATAATGACACGAACAGAAGGAATTTTAGCCACTGGAGAAAAAGTCTCGTCATAGTCAATGCCATAATTTTGAGTATAGCCCTTCGCAACAAGACGCGCCTTTAAGCGCTCAACAGAACCATCAGGATGATATTTAACAACAAATACCCACCGACAACCTACCAATTGCTTGTCAGGAGGTAAAGAGACAAGTTCCCAAGTCTTGTTGTGTTGTAGTGCAGCCATTTCTTCCTCCATAGCACGAGCCCAACCTGGATGAGCTAAAGCTTCCTGCACACTATTGGGCACAAACACAGATGCGAGAGACGACACAAATGATGACATTTGAGGAGATAAATTATGATAAGACACAAAATGAGCAAGAGGATACCGAGATCGAGTACGGTGTGCAACGGGAGAGTCAACTCGGAGGTGATGGAAGAGGATCGAAGCCGGGGCGAGATAGTTGTGAGGCGTCGGCGATGGAGAGTCATGATTCCAAGCACGGCGAGGACCACGTGTATAGACTTGTAGTGGCGAGATGAACTTGGATTTGATGGAACAACATAGAAGAGACATATGGTGATTCTGCTTGGAGATATAGGTAGGGGAACTAACAATGTTTGAGAAGGTGAAGAAGACGGTGCAGACAAGAAACATTACCAAAAATGTCCGATCCTCGAAGAAGGTAACATCAGAGACGTACTCTCGACGAGAAGTAGGATTATAACAAACATAACCCTTTTGGGTACGAGAGTAACCAACGAAGACACATTTTTCAGCACGGGAGATAATTTGTCTAGGCCGGAGACAACCGATGGACAAAACAGACACAACCAAAAATACGAGGACGAATAGACCATAAAGGTTGATTAGGATGAAGAAGAGTAAAAGGAACAGCTCCCTTTAACACGGAAGATGGAAGACGATTAATAAGATGACATGCTGTACGAATAGCATAGCTCAGTAAGATTTAGGTACATGTGTATGAAGAAGAAGACACCGGCAACATCGAGTAAATGACGATTCTTACGTTCAGCAACTCCATTTTGTTGTGGAGTGTGAGCGCAAGAACTCGATGTAAAATACCACGAGATTCAAGGAAAGGAAGAAAGGTGGAAGAAGAAAAATACTCACGAGCATTATCTCGTACGTAAGCATTTAACAGGATATTCATACTCGAGTAGTAACTTCATTGTAAAATTGACGAAAGGAGTGAAATACCTCGACGATCTTTTATTAAATATAACCAAGTGGTACAGTACAATCATCAATGAAAGTGACAAAATAACGAAAACCAAATGAAGACTCTCGACTAGGACCCCAAACATCGAATGGACTAACTCAAATGGTTGAGAAGCACGACTCAAAACACGGGGTGGAAAAGACACACGATGATGCTTTCCCAACCGACACGTTTCACAATCAAACTTAAGACTCGATCTAGACACAAAAGGAAAATGACAAAGTGTATCTGTTAACGGATGACCCAGACGACAATGCAACCGATAAGAGTCATCCACGACCTTCTTCGAATAGTAGCGAAGAAAGAACAATCACGGGGTCTAGAAGATACAATCCACCACCTCACGCCCACCACCTATCCGGCGTCCGGTCTTAGATCCTGGAGGAAACATGAAGATGGAGAAAAGATGATATTGCAATCAAGATCACGAGTAATGGAACCGATGGATAACAAACTATAAGGGAATCGAGGAATATGGTAAACAAAAGGCAAAGATATGGAGGAATTCAATGACACACAACCTGCACTACCTACTTGAGATTTTGAACCATCTGCTAAGGTGAAGTGGAAGGAGTAGAAGAAGATGAAGTAAGAAGACGCGAATCACCGATCATATGATGAGTGGCACTGAATCAATAATCCAAGGACTAAGTGTATCTGTAGTGGCTAAGAGACAAGTACCATCATTATGTTGTGCCAAAGTAGCAACAGAGGCGAAGAACCACCAGGTTGTCGCGCTCTAATCAGCTCATCATATTCGCACGAGTCAACCGCACAGACTTTGTTCGGAAGCGATCCGGATGAAGAAGACCGAGGCTCAATATCAATGGAAGCCTGTAAACCCCGCAACTCAGGGATGGAGATCATAATAATAGTTAATAGTGTGTCCAGCCAACCGACAATGAGTACAAAAACGACCTCCACGACCTCCTCTAGCACTAGCGTACTACCACCTCGAGGAACACCTCGACCGAATAGTGCGGCCACGACCATGATTAAAGTTACTTGTACTCCAATTGCCACGACCACGAACTCCTTGATTACCACGAGCCACCATAGCACTATTATCGACATAGTTGAAGCTTTCGAATCGGGAGTGTACGAAGCAATCGAGAATATACTTCCTCTATGGAAGGAAGGGTGCCCAGAGAAGTAATCTGCTGTCTTAGGGCACTGTGATCCGGACCAAGACCTCGAAGAAAGAGGACCACCAGCATGTCTCGCTTCTCTCTCTTGCATCGAGTAACTCTGTTGTGATGGTGGAAGATGAGACCGAGTCGCAGACAAAGAAGTAAAACGAGCATAGTATTCGCCAATCCGGAAGGACCAATTTTAGCCTCAAATAATGCCTCCCACATATCACATACTCGACTCATATTATTCTGTCCAGAATAAAGGAAAGTGCATTTGGACCACACCTCACGAGCCGTCATACAATCCATAAAAAGAGGACGAATAGAATCAGTCATACTTCCCCCACGCGAGTACGCAACGCAGGTCGGTGACCCTCCATTCTTCTAAATTAGTGAATCCTCAGGTGGTGGTTCATGGAGCCACCTAGATTGGCGATTAGCATAAATAAAAGTAGAAAGGGCCATTGACCAACTCGGGTAATTCGTGCCATCCAACTTTACTAATGTGGTGTGTAAACCACTCATACCAAAGGAACCAAGTAGCAATAGTCGGGGTAGTCACCCCGAACGAACATCCGAAGTTACTAAATCGGTAGACATATCCACCAATTAAAAGAGAACACCGTAATCTATCGGATTATCACCAAATCCACTAAAAAAATGTGAACACCACCAACAGCAACTATCAATCACACTACAAGTCACCACACCAACTTCCACTACCACATCAACCAGATCTGCTCACCACATCAACCACCACTACACTTTAATTAAAAACAATGTCTTCACATCGAGACGAGGCAAGACAAAGAGAGAAACACGAGCAAAAAATCCCATAACCAAGACAGATCGGTAGAAGCAGCACGAACATGACCAAAAATTTCTTCACATCTGTTGCCTCTCTCTGCGAATCACATCATCGGGAAGAGGCGGCGAGTCGCGCTTTGGAGGCGCGGCGAGTCGCGCGCGGGGCGCGGGACGCGCCGAGGAGCGCGCGAGGTCGCTGAGGCGCGCGAGCTAAGACGCGCGAGACGTGTGGGTTCTTCGCTGGCCGTGAACAGTAGGCTAGGGTTAGGGCTTAATTTAGGATTAGGATTAGGGTTTTACTGTGGCTCTGATACCATGTAATTTGGTAAAAAAGATCTACTTTATTATTGAGATAAACCAAGTATATATAGGCTTAGGGTTAAGCCTTGATACAAAGACCTAAATACCCTTTCCTAAAATAAACCCAAATAACAGGAGGCTACATACAGAATAGAATACTACACTTTTCTTCTTTTGATAATTACACTGAATTATCCGAAGAAACACAAAATCAAGAAGCCAGTTCCAAAAGCCTAAAACTACACAATACTACACATGCCAAAGTAGCAATACACACCGTCAGTGTCAATGCAAACTACAAATCGCAACCAATGGTTGAGTTCAGACATCAGACTGGGGTTAGCATTAGGGACCACTCCAACAGTGGGGGGACGTGCTTTGTCATTCTTCTTCAGGTTCTTCCTCTTCTTGCAATAGGTTCTCCCTATTATCATGGGCCCAGAAACCACGCACATCAATGAGCATACTGGCTACTGTCCCACCTTGCTTGCAGGTCAGAAGATCGGCCGACGTGATTCTCAGCGGGTCAGCAGGTTTAACCATATCCCAGATTTCATCCCTAACGTCATCGATGCACAGCTCATAGTTCCCACCCTCAATCCATTTCTGATGCACGTCCCTGTCCATTGAGAAAGAATAATGCAGAGAGAGAGAGATAAGTGCAAGTTACCAAAACTCAACAAAAAGGAGGATGTCAAAGTATGCAGTAGTTTGCCCAAAGATGAAAAGTTGGTCCAGCACTGTTCCCATCCCATGGCATTAAACATATATTTTCGAGTCTTATGACCCTCTCTACCTCTAACCACCACCACCCCCCCGCAGTTCCTTCCTTTAAATAATATAAGGGAAAGGAAAGGACACCTGGCCAAATTTACGTAGTGTGATTAAAAACAAACAAGCCTTCATAGTCTGTTTATCAAAGGATTTCAGCACTCGAGAGTTCACATTCAATAATCATGTCTCTGCAACTTTGAGACTTGCACAACTTCCTTGAGTTATGCAAGCAGGAAACTGCAGAACTTTTCTATAGGAAGACTGTATCAGGTAACATCTCCACATACAGATGTTTCCCCTCTTTTCTTCCATTTGCAACTTCACTTTCAGGATACTCACATATGACACTATAAAAAGGCATGTTCTTCATAACTTTCACACTGTCAAAGCAGACTTTCCTAGTAACTAGATTATTTCGTCAATTTTGGAGCATTGGGCATAAAGAATATAGTCTTAAGTAACAATATGACAAGAGGAAAAGAAGATGGAAATCAAAACACATTTTTCACCTCATATAATGCTTTAGATTGAGTTTAAGAAGCTAAAATACTAAGAGGGAAACCGGTTTAGGACATGGGAGCCATTAAAAGCAACATTATGACAGTTGAAATAAAATATTGACCTGAACAGAGAGTGTATATCAGCTGTTGTGAGAAATCCTCTTCCATGGAGATCAAGACACCGAAAAAGATATGTTAATCCTTCAGGAGTGTCCTTGTTTTCCAGTGCCAGAACAAAGTCGAGAAAGCTCTCAAAATCCATCTCCCGAGAACTCCCGCCACCACTTTTCCCACGACGTATATGCTCATCAAATACTATAAGGAACATTAAGAAAATAAGTTGAATGAAGCCAGCGGATAAACCGATATTGGAAGTTAAGATTTTCAGGATTTTGCAATTAGCACAGGAAAGCAACTTTGTTTCCTACCTCTTTCAATGAAGATCTCTGTTAGTGAACCATCTGCATATTCTTTGAGCTCCTGCTTGCTCAAAGTTCCATTCATATCTTTGTCAAGTGCCAAGAACATATCTAGGAAAAAATGAAAAACGAAATGTGATGATGATATCAACTACGTGGAGATAAGAGGGATACCAAATACAGAGAAATCCAAAGCACTCACCACATATGCGCTGTGCAGATGTCAAGGAGAACCAATTTTCAGCTTGTTCAGTGTCAGTAACTTCTTCCTCACTCTCCTGATGCAAATTTAGAAAAAGAAAATGCCTAAGCATCAATACAAATCTTCAATATCAATCAATAAACCTTTAATGGTAAAATAAGTGATCGACTCATTGATTAGTTTAAGCTTTAAAATTTCCTTTCTTAACTAGCTCATGCAAGTGCTTGTTTCTTTTCTGCTAGCAAATGGATTTCACTACACATTTGAGAAGAGATTGCTTCCTGATATCCTCCGGTGCTAGACACAATACTTATCCGATCCCCAACCTCCTTATAAACCCTCCCCTTAAAGCATTGACAATTAAAGCTGAGCAGCCTCTCCCTAACATCTAACAGCCAATACAAATCATTGGAAGTGCACCTGGGGGGTGATTAGCCATCTAAAAGAGATCAAGTACAGGTAATGGCATACGAGAAGATTCAATTGAGAAGCCCTCTAAAAGATCGTAAACCAAGAATTGCAATATGCTGTGAAATGGCCTGAAGAAACAAGTGTATATGTTAATCTCCTTCTACCCAGTCTACAAGAGGAAATGAACGGGCATCCACCAGCAGCCTATCGTCAAAATAAGGTCTATCTAATAAAAATTGTGGAGAAGAACCAAATGTGTGCGAGACAAAATGTTGTCAACAGAAACTACACCTACTAAAACTCAGCCAATAAGACGCTCCTAGATGACTTTTTAGCAAGTTTCCTTCTCAAAGCTGTTCCAGGTGGCATACCAAACTGGTATTTGCTCGAGTCAAGAAGTATAAAAGAACTTCTCCAACTTAGAATGAAAAACAGGAACTAGGTGACAGAAAAAGGATGTGCAAATGATAAAACCTTCTTATCATCAGGAACAGGAATTCCCAAATAAAAAGTGAGCAAATAATCTACAGCCCAGGGGAAGCAGGAAAAGACAGGAGGATTGACGTCTACAACAACTTAAAACTGTTTTATCAGAACATTTGAAAGCGTTGCAAGAAAATCTTCATTTATATCTACCTGGTGCAGTTCCATAAGTTCTTGAAGGCAGTTACTAAGCAGCACCTTCTTTATACATGCTTTCCCTGGAAAGAATTTACGGAATCAGCTGCTTTTAACCGAAGCGGAACTTCAGAGTTCAGACCTAAACATCCAAATATCCTATCCTTACATGGAAAAGAATGTAACAAAAACTAATCCACCATATCTATATAGTCATGTTCCATAAGCCATCTAATATGTCACAGCAATACTGTCGCCAATTAAATTGGAATTTAAGACTGGTCAACACTGACTTAAAGAAATCCATAAACTCCATCTCGTAGCATTTAGAAAACTGCCAGACCATCATTAAGCAACAAGAGGTCACTGGTATGACCAGAAATTTTATTTACACACCCTAGTATACCAGATTTAGTAACCAACATAAAAAGGAAATGCACAAGCAAACTCACAGATTATTCTAAGGGTGCCACAGTAGTCAATAAAAGAGGAAAAAAGCTTCAATAACAAGTACATTCAAATATAACTCCGATCATGGTTCAATAAAGGAGACAACCATAGACACTACCTGTATAAGATCTAGCCACATACCTCGTCTATGAGGATCACAGAAGAAGAAGAACTTGCGTGCAGCAATGCGGCAGTACATTTGAACAAATGCAGCAGGCATGTCTCGTAGCTGTGCCAAATTAGGAATCAGACCCCTTATGTAAGCCTCCATTTCCTAAAACACAAAACCAGGTCAGCTTCTTCACAAATCCAGACAAGTGATAGCAGTTAGACAGACACCATTATGACACTGCAACATAAAAGTCCTCTGACAAAATAGAGAAGTAGAGTAGAAACGAAGCACGAAAAGGCAGTATCATACATGAGGTTGAAGGAAACCATCAGAATCTTCATCTAGCTCACTCATATCAATTCTGGCCTGCGTTAGTGAAACCTGAAGAAGAAAGGACACATACATTTTAGCAACAGATAGACTTATATGTTGTTCTAGATAACTGATTCAAGCCTAATATTGAGCTCTGCAATTTGTTAATGAGAATAGCATGATCCACAAGCGTTACCCTTTTCTTGACAAGATGGAATTTTATTGATAAAAGAATTGTTCGAGTACATTAAAAATATAAAAGAACAGATAAGGATAAATAATCTGCTACACATCAATCCCAAGCGTTCATGTTCAATTATAGGCATAATTACATCCCTTACCAATACATATTCAACACACAGGACAGGAGTCAATACCGACACTGCCAATGCTCAATAACCAATATGCTGATGAAGCAAGAAATGACTTAATTTAAAATTAACAAGTCATGCACAATGGCCTTGTACTTTTCTTCACCATGCACTTTCAGATTATACAGTAACGAAACTATTCATGTGGACTCCACTGACAATCAAATTTTCAGTGGACGCATCAATGAGTAAGACATACCGTGCGCATCACATAGAGGTAGAAAGGAAGAATGGCAATTCGTCCTGACTCGTCTTTCTCGAATTTCATGAAATTTGAAGGGCTGAAGAATCGTCGGCATTTGGGGCCTATTTGCTCTGTACATACAGATGCAATATGGCAAAAATCTTCATAGTTCATCTGAAAAAGAAGGAATTTTCAAAACTCATTCAGAAACCATTATTACAAACACTAAAAGGAAAGCTGCCTATACATGTAAAGCAACAACCGTTTGAAAGAGGTGCAAGGAGGGAGCACTTTTTTTAAAACAGTAATAACAAACTTGTTAGAAAGGAGGGGGTATTGCTTGGAGCATACATTTCAATTAATCTCTTGAGCATTACATCAAAAATCAGCAATACCACCAGTAACAGTCACTGAGAAAATAATCTTCAAATTGCATTTTAAGATGATCAGTACCATTGCGAAAGAGATTGTAAGAGTCAGAAAACAGCTGTCTATCGATGTAAAGCTCCATGATTTTGAATATATGGAAGAGGATACGAGGAAGCTTTACAATAAGTATTCAATAAATATGAAAAAGAAGGAAAGGGGTAATGCTGGGAGAAAACAATTGAATTGCTCTCTCTCTAAGAATTTGATCAAAATTTGACAATAAATCCCACCAGTAACTTCCATTCACAAAATGCAAAGAACACCGCAGACCTGTGAAGACAAAGTCATATAAAACAAGGTACACAAAAATGGACGATGCTAAAATAAACAGACCTTTTCTGCCCCTGTAGCATCATCGATGACACAATTTTCTCTCAAGCAAACCCACATTGCATCTAGATCATCCGCGTTAAGCAAAAGATCCGATTGCTTCTGCAAAAGTGCAAGATAAATGTGAACTTCTTAAGAAAGAAAAGTACAAACTACTTCGAAGCTTCTTTAGATTTCTTAAGAACTCTGTTGCCAGTACAATAGATACATACCTTGAGAAAACGGTATTTTGCAAGCCTCTGTACTCTATGACTAATGGATCCTTCTTCTGGTTTCTAAGAGGGTGAGTAGAAAATCAGGATTGATTAGTCATCACACAGAAATATAAGTATACCAAGCAAACGAAATCACATTCTACAATAATTAAGGAAAATTCCTGCCCTTATACTTTTAAACCAGCTCTCTGGGAACTTGGTTCAACCAGTGAAAGCAAAACATGAGGCAAATACACTTGTTAACAGGGAATGAACAACTAAGTATCATATAACCATTCAAAACGATTCTATTGCATACCTTCTTATAAAAACTTGGAATGGTGCCAGCTTCAGCACTTTTTTGTTGCTTCTCCTTGAATATGTCAAGCAAAATCCTCTTGGTCTCAAGTTCTACAAGGGGGAGAAATAAGATGATGATCAACTCCATATGCATGCTATATTTTGCAAGTGCATGCAAGCCGTTCCAGGATGGAGGGATCAGGGAGGAAAAACTTCATCTACCCTAATTAACCGTCTCGGAACAGGCATGCTTCAAAAACTGTGTCCGAGTCTCTACACCCAACGTAGCTAAGGCCCTCTTCTGCTTTATACCATAGCAGCTGATATGTCATGAAAGATTCAAAACTAAAACAAGAAGAATAAGAGCTCATGTCATTTTTTCTTCCCAATTACGTATCGATATAGAAAACTGGAGCTAATTCCCACTTGTCCACTCAGACACCTCAAGATTAGTCTCCGAAGAAGG